AAATGGAAACATTTAACAGGAGGGAAGAAACCAAGATTTTGTTGTTGTAATAGTCAGTGGGGAAAATGTTTTATTTGTCAGTGTTTTTGAGGGTCTACTAGCAAAGTGACGGTATAGCGAAAGGATTGGAGGAGCAAGTAGATAGAGATATTGACTGAGAGGGGGAATCTGAGTGGCAGAACACATGGGAAGAGGTAGCAGTGGGAAGCTTCCGGATGGTTTGCGCAGAGAGACAGTTGGTATTAATGACAGAAAGGTTTAAGTTTAGCCAAACCATCGTTCTGGCTTTGGCACAAATCATTTTGGTGAGGAAAACTGGTAGAGTCATGGGGGCCAGATGCCAGGTTTTGTTCTCCTGGAGGCTTCTTCTCACTTCCAGAGTGCAGTCAGGCTTGTGCTGATGGTGGGTGTGGGTTGCAGTGAGGATAAACAGTGGCACTATGGGTCCCAGTCTCGGGGTATTCATTCATCCCTTATGTCTTGTGTTTGTTTTGCTTTTACTGTCACCAGCGAGTGAGCTTAGGGCCTTCAGGTTGAACTACACCCCCAGCTCTTCTTTATTTTTATTTTGAGACAGAGCTTCTGCTAAGTCACTTAGGCTGTCTTGAAACTTGTGATCCTTTTGCCTCTGTTTCCCAGAGTGCTGGGATTAGGGCATATGCCACCATATCCACTTTTGGTTGTGTTTTTCAGCACACCATTTGTTGATGCAGGTTCATCTCCCTCCACATACCTCAAGACCTTTTTCTTCTTTATTACGTCTTTCTTGGGTTATTTCTATCAGTGTACTAGGGGTTATTTAATTTGCAAACTCAGGCTTAGGGCCTCCCCCTTTTATGTAGGTAGAGCTGAGGCATGTATGTATGCTTAGACCTTGTGCTATGGCCAGGGGTCAGTGCAGAGTCGGGGCTGGAATCAGGGTGGATGCAGTGAGCCTGGGAGACAATGAAATTCAGCACACATGGTTCTGGATAAGGGACAATTCAACCCGAGAGGTCACAGGCACAGAATGGGAAAGTCCGCGTGCTTTCTTCCAAGGCATGTGTCAGAAGCAGCAGCCTTGGGCCATGGGGCAGAACAAGTTGGTGGGTCTCCCCAGTCCCCACAAAGCCTTTTCTCTGAGACCATTTTCATAGAAACCAACTATAGAAACACAACTTTACTGTGTTGGATCAGACACCAAGGAGAAGTATAGGTAAGAAATACTTGTATCTAGAGTGGAGAATCTGAGTAAAGGTAGGTCATGATACAACTTACTAATACTATTTATCTCTTTATTTTTTTTT